TGTTCATAGCAGCAATGTCCGCAATAACCAAACTGTGGAAAGAGCCGAGATGCCCTTCAACAGATGAATGGATAAAGAAGATGTGGTCCATATATACAATGGAATATGACTCAGCCATCAGAAAGGATGAATACCCAACTTTTACATCAACATGGATGGGACTGGAGGAGATTATGCTAAGTGAAATAAGTCAAGCAGAGAAAGTCAATTATCATATGGTTTCACTTATTTGTGGAACATAAGGAATAGCATGGAGAACACTAGGAGAAGGAAGGGAAAAATGAGGGGGGTAATCGGAGGGAGAGATGAACCATGAGAGACTATGGACTCTGAGAGACAAACAGGGTTTTAGAGGGGACAGGGGAAGGGGGATTGGTTAGTCCAATGATGGGTATTAAGGAGGGCATGTACTTCATGGAGCATTGGGTGTTATATGAAAACAATGGATCGTGGATCACCACATCAAAAACTAATGATGGATTGTAGGGTGACTAACATAACAATAAAATTAAAAAAAAAGAAATTATTATCAACATCTATACACCAATGAATCAAGCAACCTGGAAGAAATGGATGCCTTCCTGGAGATCTATAAACTGCCAAGACTGAAATAGGAAGAAACTGAGAACCTGAATAGGCCAATAACCAGTAACAAGATTGAAGGAGCGATTAAAACCTCCCAAAAAACAAGAGACCAAGCCCTGATGGATTCCCTGGGGAATTCTACCACACATTCAAAGAATAAATACCTATTCTCCTAAAGCTGTTCCAAAAAACAGAAAAAAAAGGAAGGCTTCCAGACTCATTCTACGAGGCCAGCATTACCTTGATCCCCAAAGAAAGCAAAGACCCCATCTAAAAGGAGAAGTTCATACTGATATACCTGATGGATATGGATTCCAAAATTTTCAACAAAATTCTAGCTAATAGGATCCAACAATACATTAAAAGGATCATCCACCACAACCAAGTGGGATTTATCCCTGCGATGCAAGGGTGGTTCAACATTCGCAAATCAATCAATATCGTAGAACATATTAATAAGAGGAGAAAGAACCATATGGTCCTCTGAATTGATGCAGAAAAGCATTTGACAAAATATAGCATCCTTTCCTAATTAAAATCTTCAGAGTATAGGGATAGAGGGAACATTCCTCAAGTTCATAAAATCCATGTATGAAAAACCCACAGCAAATATCATCCTCAATGGGAAAAAGATGAGAGTCTTTCCTTTAAGATCAGGAACACATCAAGGATGCCCACTCTCGCCACTATTGTTCAACATAGTACCAGAAGTCCTGGCAACACCAATCAGACAACAAAAAGAAAAAAAGGTATTCAAATTAGCAAAGAAGAAGTCAAACTCTCTTTGCAGATGACATGATGCTTTATGTGGAAAACCCAAAAAACTCCACCCCCAAATTACTAGAACTCATACAGCAATTTAGTAATGTGGCAGGGTAGAAAAATCAATGCACAGAAATCAGTTGCTTCCTTATACACTAATAATGCAACTGTAGAATGAGAAATTAGAAAAACTTTTCCATTTACAATAGCACCAAAAAAATAAGATACCTAGGAATAAACATAACCAAAGAGTTAAAGGATCTGTACTCTAGGAACTACAGAACACTCCTGAAAGAAATTGAAGAAGACACAAAAAGATGGAAAAACATTCCATGCTAATGGATTGGAAGAATAAACATTGTTACAATATCTATGCTGCCCAGAGCAATCTATACCTTCAATGCTATCCTGATCAAAATTCCAATAACTTTTTTCAAAGTGCTGGAACAAACAATCCTAAGATTTGTATGGAATCAGAAAAGACCCTGAATCGCCAAGGAAATGTCAAAAAAGAAAAACAAAGCTGGGGGCATCACATTGCCGGATTTTAAGCTCTATTACAAAGCTGTGATCCCCAAGACAGCATGGTACTGGCACCAAAACAGACATATACACTAATGGAACAGAATACAGAGCCCAGATATGGACCCTGAACTCTATGGTCAAATAAGCTTTGACAAAGCAGGAAAAAATATGCAATGGAAAAAAGACAGTATCTTCAATAAATGGTGCTGGGAAATTGGACAGCTATATACAGAAGAATGGAACTCGACCATTCTCTAACACCATACACAAAGATAAACTCAAAATGGACAAAAGACCTCAATGGTAAGACAGGAATTCATCAAAATCCTAGAGAACATAGGCAGTAACCTCTTTGACATTGGCCACAGCAACTTCTTTCAAGATATATCTCCAAAGGCTAGTGAAACAAAAGCAACAATGAACTTTTGGGACTTCATCAAGATAAAAAGCTTCTGCACAGCAAAGGAAACAGTCAACAAAACAGAGGCAACCCACAGAATGGGAGAAGATATTTGCAAATGACAGTACAGACAAAGCGCTGATTTCCAAGTTCTATAAAGAACTTCTCAAACTCAACACCCAAAAATCAAATAATCAAGTCAGGAAATGGGCAGAAAAAATGAACAGTCACTTCTCCGAAGAAGACATACAAATGGCTAACAGGCACATGAAAAAATGTTCATCATCACTAGCCATCAGGGAAATTCCAATCAAAACCACATTGAGATACCACCTTACCCCAGTCAGAATTGAAAAAATTGACAAGGCAAGAAATAAATGTTGGAGAGGTTATGGAGAGAAGGGAACCCTCTTACACTGTTGGTGGGAATGCAAGTTGGTATAACCACTTTGGAAAACAGTGTGGAGGTTATGACCCAGCAATTGCACTCCTGGGTATTTACCCCAAATACATAGATGTAGTGAAAAGAAGGGCCATATGCACCCCAATGGTAATAGCAGCATTGTCCGCAATAGCCAAACTGTGGAATGAGCCGAGATACCCTTCAACAGATGAATGGATAAAGAAGATGTGGTCCATATATACAATGGAATATTACTCAGCCATCAGAAAGGATGAATACCCAACTTTTACATCAATATCGATGGGACTGGAGGAGATTATGGTAAGTGAAATAAGTCAAGCAGTGAAAGTCAAGTATCATATGGTTTCAATTATTTGTGGAATATAAGGAATAAGGAGGACATTAGGAGAAGGAAGGGAAAAATGAAGGGGGGAAATCGGAGGGGGAGATGAACCATGAAAGACTATGGATTCTGAGAAACAAACTGAGGGTTTTAGCGGGGAGTGGGGTGCAGGTATGGGTTAGCCCAGTGATGGGTATTAGGGAGGGCACATATTACATGGAGCACTGGGTATTATACAAAATCAATGAATCGTGGATCACTACATCAAAAACTAATGATGTATTGTATGGTGACTAACATAATAAAAAAAATGAAAGGCTCAGTGAACAAACAAAAACATATATAAAGCAAATCAACTGGGTGGGGGAGGGGAGGGATGGATGTAATAATTAGGAATAAATCCCCAAAAAGAAAATACACGATATATCTATATATATTTAAGCCATTTTACATTAATATTCGTTACTTTCCTATTTTGGAAATTTTGTGATCAAATTAAAGAGTATGCTGAAACTTTGGGTTGCAAGAATGGGCCCACTCAGAATTTACATTTACTATATTACTCACAATTTATTACAAGATGAAGCAAGATATCTGTATCATACTTATGTATATATAATTCTTAATATAATATACACTTCTTTAGTTCTTTAAAAAACTACATTTAATAAACAAGAAAAATATTTAATTCTTAACAACTAAAATTAAAGTGAAAACTATTTTATTCTAACCTTTACAAGTTTAAAATATTAATGATACACCCTTATGTAAAAGTTACAACCATAGCATGTTATCACGAGTAAACAAGTTTGAAATTCTTACAAATAAATCATTATCAAAGGCCAGTTTCTTATCCTACATGTAAATATTTCTCATTTTTGATATAAATAAAAATTTCTATTGACCCAATGACCCTGTTTATTAGTCTCAGAGAAGTCTGATATTTTAAAAATCAGCTTAGGAGGAAAAAATAATATAAATCATGGATCTGAGTCATTCAAAATCTCTAAGAAAATAACCTTATCAGAGAACATCAAATAAGCTAACAAAACCTCAACAGAAATTAAGAAAGTGGGCAACAAAATGATCTAAGGATATTTGAATATATCCTATACTTACTTAAAATTGTGTTTATCAATACTGAAAAAAAAATTTAAAATTCAGTACCCATTGCCTAGATTTCTTTAATAAAATTAAAATCATCCTAGACTCTCCAAGTTACCATACTTTTCAGGAGTTATGGTTAGATCTGGGAATAAGAACAGACATCGTTCTGCCACTAGTTTGTTCAATCTCAGAATACCAGTAAGGGGCTTACTTACGTACCTAATGAAGTATAGGAATCTGACTCCCTGCTTAGCAGTTTCTACTGGGAATATGAAACTTCCCAATGTATAGATCAGATTTTGCTCCTATATGATTAGGTAGGCTAAAAGTGGGCCTTTTCTCTAAAGGGCCAGAATGTAAATATTTTTGGCTTTGTAGGTCATGTGATCTCTGTTATAACTAGTCAACTCTATAGCGTGAAAGCAGCCATAGACAGTATATTAATTAATAAGTGTGGTTGTGTTCCAATATAACTTTTATTAAGAAGAATAGGCTGTGGACCAGATTTAGACCATGGGTAGTAGTTTGTCAACCTCTTACCTAGGCTATCCAAACATTTATTTTACACTGTGATTAGTGATCAGCCAATAATTTTAAGGTTTTACTCTAACCATATGAAAATGGTATTTTAATACAAATATTTTATACCTACAATGACCACACGTCCTAAATTTTGGGGGACAGTCCTGACTTTGTGTATTTTATCTTTATTAATAATTGCCATATATTTCAATTTCAGGTTTAAAAAATGGGTTACCTATATGTAGTCAACTAGCAAAATAACCCCTTAATACATAACTGCTACCTTTGAAAAACCCAGTATCTGCAAATACTTGCAAGTAGTGTAACCCAAAGGACTATAAAACTAAACTTACCCTTTGGGTAGGATAAGATGGCTTTTTCTTCTTTTCGACTGTATAAAGACTGATTTCTATGTCACCTTTTGCAGTTCGACATTCTTCCTGAACCCTGATAATAAAGGTCAAAGTGACAGGAAATCATCAAAAATCAAACCAACAGTCTAAGGAAGGCATGTGTTGTGATGAGCACTGGATATTATATGAAACTAATGAATCATTGAACACTACATCAAAAACTAATAATGTACTTATACAGTGGCTAACTGAACATAATAAAAAAAATAACTATTAAAAAAATCAAACCAACAGTCTAAAAGCCAGACAACAAAAATTAACTATTTTTAGGTGTACAATAATGACATTTACAATGTTGTATAACAACCATCACCACTATTTGCAAAACTTTTTCATCACTCCAAACTTTGTAACCATTAAGTAGTAACTCTCTATTTCTCCTTCTACCAGTCCTTGTTAACCTCTAATCAACTTTATGTCTTTATGAATTTGCTTTCTCTATATATTTCATATAAGTGGAATCATATGCTATTTGTCCTTTTGTGTTGGTATTTCACTTAGCATGTTTTTAATGTTTATCCATGTGGTAGCAGGTATCAGAACTTCATTCTTTTTTTTATGACTGAGCAATATTCCATTGTATGTATATATCACATTTTGTTTATCCATTCATTTGTGGACAGACACTGGAGTTATTTCTACTGTTCTGGTATTGTGAATAATATAGCAATGAACATTGGCATACAAGTATCTCTTTGACTTCCTTCTTTCAATTGTACTTTAACGTTTTGAGCAAAGAATTACTTCAAATTCCTCTACTGCCAAGAGTTCATAAATTAGCTATGTCTCCCTTTTTCTTATTACTGTCGTAGAAAGAAAAAGTGAAACTAAATTATGTTTGCTACTTGTTGGATGAGCTGGTAAAAAGGCTTGGTAGAGGAGTTAGCATGATTAAGAGATTTTGTATGTTCTCTGTCAAATGTCTTTTTTCTTTCCTAAATCTACTTACAGCCTATGTAGATTATCTGGAGTTGATATTAAAGCAAATGTTAGGATTTATAAATAAGGATAGGTATTCTAAATTTGAAATTCATCCTAATAAAATCCTTTCATACAAGGAAGTATACTTAGAGGGCATTTCAAAATACACCCTAAGCACTGGGGTCTACAACACATCTATATTGCATTCCCAAACCATTCCAATATCAAATTGAGGGCCTTTTCCTCAGAACCACTGTTGAATTTGGGGTCTATATACCACTGACATATTTAATAACAAATGGTCTCAAATTCTTACTTAATAGTATTTGTATTCTTTATCTTCTAACCTAGACTATAAACTCATGGAAAACAAACTATGTTTTTCATTTTTCAGTATTTCCCAAACCATTTAGCCCAAAGCCAAGCAAATTAAAGATAATCATTAAATAGTTGTTATGGAATGAACTAACTGGAATAATGTAGAAAAACTAATACAAAACTCAGCTTGATTAAAAAAATACCTTAGTTATTAAAATTTACTAACTAAACAATAAAATTCTCAATTTTCTTATCAATGTTACCTTATTGACTCACCTACTAACTCCATTATTTAGTTCATTGACCACCACTCTTCTGCTCCATGCCATGAGATCTCGTTCAGTGGCCATCTGGCTCCGGGGAGCATTGTTATGCATTTGTCGGACACCTTCAATTTGACCACTACGTCGAAGCCCAATATTTGGGGATGAAGATATGTCCATATTTGGACTTCTCAGAGCTAAAATAAAAAGAAAGGTACCACTTTCTCCCAGTAAAGGCACCAAAATTTTAGATATCAGTACTCTAAAATAGGAGAGTCTAAGATGGTACTTCTAGACAATATTGCCATCCTTTTGTTCTACATTTTCTGTACCACCTTTATGGTTTTTAAAGTGTGTTGAATAAAGCAAAGCACTCAATAAATGTTTAAAGTTTCTATCACTCTTTAAAATTTTTTCAAAGTACGTTCACATCTGTCATCTACTAAATGCTTAGGAAATACAAAAAGTATATTTAACAGATTTGGTAGATTCACAAATGCTTAATAGTACTACTTCAGAAAGCAGCTTTTAATCTAAATCTTATATTTAGCCCACTAAAAGGTCTATGAATAAAGTTTCAATAGGCTTTCAAAAGTAGTAATGAGAGAAAAAGTATAAGCAAAAAATATTAACTATCAAAATTTCATTTTCAAAGCTGATAAGCAATGAAAGAAAGGGGAAATAAAGTAATGAAACCTTTTTTAAGCCCCTAGACATTCCCTGTTAATTTATTTTTGTTGTATTTGCAAATAAAATAAAAATGGAAATTGAATGATTCATTCAACTGTTAAAATAAGCACCCAGGAAAGACAAAAACAAAACAAACAAACAAAAATCATTGGAAACAGAAGTCAGTGGGGTCACTCTGACTAATGGCATTTCAAATATATCCACAGAAATCTAGTATGGAGGGTAGAGTTGAACGCTGATTTCATTAATGAATCTCTAAATCAGGGTTCTAAGAATGTTTAACAAAAAGGGCCTGGTTATGTAGGATTATCAGCCCACTTCTTATCTTGTTCCAGATTAAGGAAAGCCTATCTGAGTTAGGTGCTCCTTAGGTGAACAAAAAATATTTTTATTTTTATTTTAGAGGATATTTAAGAATCAGGAAATGAGTATAATACTCTGTGAATCACCTCTAATTTAAATCACTTTATTCAATTCCTGGACTCCAAAAGCTATAATACCCAAATAAACCCCAATTACATAAATGTAAAAAGAAACACATTTGCCAAAATCCCATAAGAAGACTGCATTTTGAAGTACTACTAATAGTTCTTGAAAAAGGCAAAACTGATGATGCACACTTTGGCAGTACTTATATTGAAATGATACAGAGAAGATTATCATGGCCCCCGAGTGAGGATGACACACAAATTCATGAAGTATTATATCATTAAAAAAAAACGTAAAACTGACAGAAGCTAAGATTTATATAAAATTCAGATATATATGGCACCTGGGTGCCTCAGTCAGTTGGGCATCTGCCTTTGGCTTGGGTCATGATCCAAGTCCCAGGATCAAGTCCCTCATGGGCTCCCTGCTTGGCAAGGGAGTATGCTTCTCCCTCTGGCTCTCCCTCCTCGTGTGTTTCTCTCTCTCATTCTCTCTCTCTCAAATAAATAAAATCTTTTAAAAAATTCAGATGTATAGCCACAGTTCATGTAAAGTGAAGAAAAGAAATAATAAATTAGAATACTGCCAGTATTCAAACTGTTGTGAAAATCAATTCATAAGTTGCATCTGTATTTCCTAAGAATAGGGCTTATCTTCCAGTGTATTTTTGTAAATTCAAGAGACGAAGGGGATAACGTTGCTTTTTTTTTTTTAACAAAGGAGGGTAAATTTTTTGTTAGTAATTTTTATATTCACATGGTTTTAATTTCGAAAACATTATAGGTTGGTTCTCCTTTTACAAAAAGGCTGTACTTACTGCAGCACCTCATATATTATAACAAAAGGAAAGACTGCAAATACATTCTTGAGTTAGGAGAAAACAGTATATTAAATATACCACCCGTATTTCTTAAGAAACGCTAAGAACTCTTAGCCACAAATGAAAATGAGATTATGGCACTTTGGTGTATTTGATATCACAATCGTAAATTAATAAAAATGTTCTTATTTAAAAACCTAAAATGTTCCTTACATGTAATTACTTAGTGCGATTAAAATAAAGGAACTCCATCATATAAATATATACATACTTACCACCATTAGCAGAATATGATCTATTAATTGGAAAATGTGGAACATCTCCTTCATTAATTAGTCTAAGATCTTGTTCTCTCTGTAGCTCCCTGATTATTCCATCAAGAATGCTTTCATCTTGGTCATTGGTTTGTTGCCCAATTACTTGTTCTACCACCTCACCATCACCTTAATGACACCAAAGATATAAAACCACAAAATTACATACATTTTAATATACCTTAAATACAGTAAAAATAACCTTCATCTATAAATTTCTAAATAATAAAAAACAAGATTAAAATGAAAATAAAACATATATCAAAAAGTATTTATAAAGAACTTTTAAATTGTTTGATATGTCAGCTTGTGTGTTCACATGACTTAACAAATGTCCCCAAATTAGCCATTATTAGGAGGGTCTTCTCATTTTAAAGAATAATCATTAAATTATGAATTTCCAAATGTACTTTCTTGATGAAATATTCCAAGCAAAAAGTCCAGAGTAGAGATCTGAGTAAAGTTTAAAGTGCAACCACAGATACAGAAAATGTTTTGCATCTTTCTTTCATGAGAATTTCCTTTCTGAAATAAATCAAAATAATGGTCTTTCAAATACTGTCTCTTTCAAAAACATCTCAGTATATTGATAAGTACAGAAATTATTTCTACTGACACACTGAAATACAATGGTTACATCTGAATACTTTATTTACTTCTATATTCTTTTTCTTTCCTTCTTCTTAAAGATTTATTTATTTATTCCAGAGATGGGAGGGAGGGGCACAGAGATAGGGAGAGAATCCTCAAGCAGACTCTATGCTGAGTACAGAGCCACACGGGGCTGGATCCCAGGTCCCTGAGATCATGACTTGAGCCAAAATCAAGAGTCAGACACTCAGCCAACTGAGCCACCCAGGTGTCCCTATATTCTTTTTCTTAAGTACATCTTAGACATGTTTTTCATCTTGTCCTCTAGTCGGACTAAAAGGTATCCAAAAGAGTAGCCAAGTAGCCAGACATCAGGTCTTATAGGAAATGAAGTATGATGAATTAGAGACTTTTTTTACTCAAATGTTTTGAGTTTTATCTATTTAATATTCATGCTTTTCCCCTTGTTTACATATATGACATTATAAAAGTCAATATTAGCAAACATATAACACCATTTAATTGCTCTACAGATCTTTATGAGAGAATACATAAAAGGATATGCAACATTTCACTCTATAAAAAACAAATCAAGTCTTAAATCTCTAGTAAGGAAATAAAATTCCATTTACAATTCAATATTTACACCATACCTGGAAGAAAACCTACAACAAACAAACTAAGATATGAAGGCATTCTGGTGTGGTGGATGGGGTATGAGAGGCAGAAAATGCAAGAGAAATACATAAACAAGATTTGCTATGGAGGGGAAGATAGCTGTGGAGTAGTAGGAGACTAGGCTTGCCTCCTCCCATGAATACAAGTAGATACATACCAATTCACCCTAAATACTCCAGAAATTGATCTGAAGACTAGCAGAACAAACTCTACAACTAAAGGTAGAGAAGAGGCCACATCAGAGAAGGTAGGAAGTGCAAAGACATGGCTTGGGATAGAAACAGATCATGGTTTCCATAGTGGGGAGGGAGCCAAGGTCGTAGAGAAGGGCAAGAGACAGACTAGCACAAAGGGGAGCTCACATGGGAAAGATGAATCCTCACAGCAACTGGCTTGGTAAGCCAGAGGGGCTGAATTTCACGAGCTCTTGAAAACAGTGGGGCTTAAAGCCTGGAGTTTTATAGGTCAATGGGTTTGGCTCTGGGAGAGCATGCAAAGCATTGGGGCTGCTCTTGGAAAGAATTCAGGGCAAACAGCCCATAAACTTGTGGCGTGGAAACTGATCTCAAGAGCGCCTGAGGCACACAGTGGGGAGCTTATTTGCCCATCTCAGAGTGTGTCCCAGAGAGGCAGGATTCATGAAAAGACCCGTCTGTGAACAAAGTAACTAGCAGCCGCCATTTTCTTCCCATCTGCATAAGCACAGGGTCACCTATGGGAAACAGCACAGCACCAGAACTTACTACCTAAATTGCTTATGCCAAGTCCCGCCCCACTCTGCTCAGATGGAACTGACCTTCCAAGTCACACTTAACCTCAGTCCTAACACACCAGTTCTCTTCCCTCAGACTGGCCCAAACTCCTGCCAACACTGCATCTCCTGATCCAGGAGTTTTGCAGGACCTGGTTCCAGTGGCAGTGGCAACATGTCTCATTTCACAAGCAGACCGGAGCACACCAGTTAAAGCTCAGCACAAAAGGCCAAGGACCAAACAATGCTGACAACAGGCAAAGACAGCATCTACAGAAGATGGGCCTAAAGAATAAAGTGGCCAGCACAGAAGAGCAGAGTGCATGCACCACACATTAGAAAAATTCACTGAAGTGTCGGGTCCTGGGAAAAAGGGGACACTGCACTCCAGGGTACTACAAGGACTTCTTCTTCAGAAGGTCATTACCCCCAAGAAGAGGAGACATAGCTGACTTATCTAACACACAGAAACAGATACAGAGAAGGAAACAAAATGAGAAGACAGAGGAATTTCTCCCAAATGAGAAAAGAGGACAAAGCCACAGCCAGAGATCTAAAAGCAAAATAGATGTAAGTAACATGCTTGATAGAGAATTTAAAGTAATGATCATAAAGCTATGCACTGGACTTGACAAAAGAGTGGAAGACATTAGTGAGACACTTAAAAAAGAGATAAGGAATAATATAGCAGAGATAAAGGATTTAATAAACAAAATGAATAACATGGTTGACAGAATAAACAGCAGTCTGGAAGAAGCAGAGGAACAAATTAATGAACTAGATGACAGAGTAATGGAAAGTAGTCAAGCTAAACAAAAGAGAGAAAGAAGAATTATGTGAAAGAATTAGGGAACTCAGTGACTCCATCAAACATAATAACATTCATATTATGGGAGTCCCAGAAGAAAGAAAAAGAGAAAAGAGGGCAGAGAATATATTTTAAGAAATAATAGCTTAAAACTTCCCTAATCTGGGGAAGGAAACAGATACCCAGATCCAGGAGGCACAGAGAACCCCCAACAAAATCAACAAAAGCAGATCCACACAAAGACATATATTAAAATTAAAATGGCAAAATATACTGATAAATAAAAAAAAAATTTAAGTCAGCAAGACAAAAGAACACAGTTACACATAACGGAAATCCCATAAGGCTATCAGCAGCTTTTTCAGCAGAAATGTTATAACAAAAAGGGAGTGGCATGATATGCTCATAGTGCTGAATGGGAAAAATCTGCAGGCAAGAATACTCTATCCAGCAAGGTTATCTTTCAGAATAGGAAAGCTAAAGAGTTTCCCAGACAAACAAAAACTAATGGAGTTAATGACCAATAAACCATTTCTATAAAAAATATTAAAAATAATTATTTGAGTGGAAAGGAAAGACCAAAAGTGACAGTATCAAGTAGGAAACATAAAGCAGTGAAAATGAGTATTTCTGTAAGAAATCAGTCAAGAGACATACAAAAAAAAAAAAAAAAGAATGTAAAATATGACACCATATACCTAAAATGTGGGGAGGAGAGGAGTAAAGAATGGGTTGAATCTTTTTTTTTTAATTTTTTATTGTGATGTTAATCACCATACATTACATCATTAGTTTTTGATGTAGTGTTCCATGGTTCATTGTTTGTGCATAACACCCAGTGCGTGCCCTCTTTAATACCCATCACCAGGCTAACCCATCCTCCCACCCCCCTCCCCTCTAGAACCCTCAGTTTGTTTTTCAGAGTCCATGATTTCTCATGGTTCGTCTCCCTTCATTCTTCCCCTCCTGCTATCTTCTTTTTTTTTTTTCTTAACATATATTGCATTATTTGTTTCAGAGGTACAGATCTGTGATTCAACAGTCTTGCACAATTCACAGCGCTCACCATAGCACATATCCTCCCCAGTGTCTATCACCTGGCCACCCCATCCCTCCCACCCCCCCCACTCCAGCTACCCTCAGTTTGTTTCCTGAGATTAAGAATTCCTCATATCAGTGAGGTCATATGATATATGTCTTTCTCTGACTGACTTATTTCGCTCAGCATAACACCCTCCAGTTCCATCCACGTCATTGCAAATGGCAAGATCTCATTCCTTTTGATGGCTGCATAATATTCCATTGTATATATATACCACATCTTTATCCATTCATCTGTCAATGGACATCTTGGCTCTTTCCACAGTTTGGCTATCATGGACATTGCCGCTATAAACATTGGGGTGCACATACAAGAATGGGTTGAATTTTAAATGACCATCAACTTAATATAGACAGCTAGAAGATGGTGATGTAGTAGGAGGACCCTAGGTTCATCTCATCCCTCAAACACAACTAGATAACTATCAAATCATTCTGAATACCCAAGAAATAAACCCAAGGACTGACAGAATAAACTCTACAATTAGAGGGAGAGAAGACGCACATCAAGAAAGATAGGAAGTGTGGAGACATGGTTTGGAGGAGAAACAGCATGGGTGCTGTGGAGGGAAGGGAGCCCTGATCGCAGAGAAATGCAAGAGAGTGAGGAGCACACAGGGGAATGCACAACGAGAACACTTCCCCAGTCATTGGCTGGGAAAATGAGAAGGGCTGATTTTTGTGAGTTTTTGCAACCAGTGGGATTTAAAGACAGGAGTTTCAAAGGTAAGGTCAGTATGCTTGACTGGGATAGAGCCCTGAGGCCACTGTGCTGCTCTAGGAGAGAAGGCAGATGAACAACCATGGGGCAAACAGCAAGAAAACAGCAACTGAAAAACACCAGGATACACTGGGAGAGATTATTCGCTCTTTTCAGAGTGCTTCTTTGAGAGCAGCAAGCAGAGAGACCCCTCTCCTGGGACAAAAGAGCTGGCTGGTGCCATTGTCTTCCCCTGACCGTCACATGAACAGAGAGCCACCTTCAGTAAACAGCACAGCGCCAATGCTGGCTGCCTAACTTGCTTACATCAGGACCCACACCCCTGCACTCTGCCCTTATTGCCCTTCTAGGTAAAGTTTGCCTCAGTTCCAGTACAGTGGGCCCCTTCCCCAGAAGACCAGCAGAAACCCCTGCACACACCACAACTCCTGACCAGAGAGGTCTGCAAGGCATCAGTTCTAGTGGAAGTACCATCAAGTCTCATTTAACAAGCAGAACAGAGCACACATAGTGAAAACATGCCACACTCTGGCCAAGGTCCAAACACTGCCCACTGCAGGCAAGGAGAGCCTCTGAAGAGGAATGGTCTGAAGGACAGAGCAGTTGAAACAAAGCAGCAGAGTGTACTCAGCACACACCAGAGACACTCCTTGAAGCACCAGGCCCTGGACACTTTATGACTTCTTTTTCATAAAGCCATAATTCTCAGGAGCAGGAAACATAACAGGCTTTTCTAACACAGAGAAGTAGACAGAGACTTAGAAAAAATGCCAAGATGGAGGAATTCAAACACAAGATAAGGTCACAGCCAGAGAACTAAGCGAAACAGATATAAGTAATATGCCTGATGGAGAATTTGAAGCAATAGTCATAAGGATACTCACTGGGCTTGAGAAAAGCATGGAAGACTTCAGGGAGGCCCTTAACCCAGGGATAAAAGGGTTGAAAAACTGTCAGAAATGAAGAATGCAACAATTGAGATTGAAAATAGGCTGGATGCAATGAAGTTAATATAGACAGCTATATGCACAAGAGGTTCTATGTAAAACTAATGATAACCACAAATCAAAAAACACTAATAGACAGGCAAAGAATAAAGAGAATGGAATCCAAATATATCACTAAAGCAAATCAGCAAAACTTAAAAGAGAGAAAGATAAGTAAGGATCAGAGAAAAAACTTCAGAAATAACCACAGTACAAGTAATAAAATAGCAATAAATACATATCTATCAATAATTACTTTGATGTAAATAAACTAAATACTCCAGTCAAAAGACATAGCGTGACAGAATGAATTAAAAAAACAAAAACAAACAAGACCCATCTATATACTACCTATAGGAGACTCATTTTAGACCTAAAGACACATGCAGAGTGAAAGTGAGGGAACTGAAAAACATTTATCATTCAAATGCATGTGAAAAGAAAGCTGGAGTATAAATATCTATATCAGAAAATACACATTTTAAAATATACATTTTAAAACAAAGACTATAACAAGAGATGAAGAAGGACTCTATATAATAACAAAGGGGACAATCTACCAAAAAGATTACAATTATAAATATTTACGCACCCAACATGGGAGTACTAAATACATAAAACAGTTAATAACAAATATAAAGGAACCAATCAATAATACAATAATAGTAGGGGACTTTAATACACTACTTACATCTAAAGATTTTATTTATTTATTTATTTGACAAAGAGACACAGCGAGAGAGGGAACACAAGCAGGGGGAGTGGGAGAGGAAGAAGCAGGCTTCCCGCAGAGCCGGGAGCCTGATGCGGGGCTCGATCCCAGGACCCTGGGATCATGACCTGAGCCGAAGGCAGACATTTAACGACTGAGTCACCCAGGCACCCCTTTCTACCAAACATTTAAAGAAGAGTTAATACCTATTCTTCTCAAAGTATTCCATAAAATATAAGAGGAAGGAAAATTTCCAGAATCATTCTATGAGCCCAGCAATACCCTGATAACCAAAATCACATAGACACCACTAAAAAAGAATACAGGTCAATCTCTTTGAAGAACATAGATGCAAAAATCCTCAACAAAATACTAGCAAACAGAATCCAACAATCAAGTAGAATTTATTCCTTGACTGCAAGGGTGGCTCAGTATTCACAAATCAATCAATTTGATATACCACATTAATAAATGAAAGGATGAGAACCATATGATCCTTTCAATAGATGTAGAGAATGCATTTGATATAGTATAACATCCATTCATGATAAAAACCCTCAACAAGGTAGGGATAGAGGGAACATACCTGAACATCATGAAGGCTGTATACAAAAAAATCCCCAACTAATATAATCCTCAATGGGGAAAAACTGAGAGGTTTCCCCTTCGGGTAAGGAACTATAAAAGAATGTCTACTCTCACCACTTTTATTCCAGATGGTACTGGAATCCTAGCCATAGCCATTAGATCACACCCAAAAAAATATAGGGCAGGCAAATTGGTAAGGAAAAAGTTAAATGTTCACTATCTGCAGATGACATGAGACTCTATATAGAAAACCCTAAAAACTCTACCAATAAACTACTAGAACTGACATATGAATTCAGGAGTCATGGGATATAAAATCAATGTGCAGAAATCTATTGCATTTCTATATACTTATAATGAAGCAGCAGAAAGAGAATTTAAGAAAACAATCACATTTGAAATTATATAAAAAATAATTTTACCTATGAATAAACCTATAACCAAAGAGGTGAAAGACCTATCTTCTGGAAACTATAAAACACTGATGACAGAAATTGAAGATGACACCAAGAAATGGAAAGACATCCATGCTTATGGATTGAAGAACAAATATTTAAAAATATCTATACTGGGGCACCTGGTTGGCTCAGTCCATTAAGCAGCTGACTCTTGATTTTGGCTCAGGTCACAATCTCAGGGTCCTAGGATTGAGCCCCGAGTCGGGTTCCATGCTCAGTGGAGAGTCTGCTTGAGAATTCTCTTTCTCCCTCTGCCCCTCTCCCCACTCTCTCTCATAAATAAATAAATCTTTAAAAAAATTTTAAAAAGACCTAAATGTGAGTTCTGAAACCATAAAAATCCTAGAGGAGAGTATAGGCAATAATTTCTCTGATATCAGCTATAGCAACATTTTTGTAGATATGTCTCCTGTGGCAAGGGAAATAAAAGCCAAATAAACTATTGGTACTGCATCAAAATAAAAAGCTTCTGCACAGCAAAGGAAGCAGTCAACAAAACTAAATGTTATCCTACTGAATGAGAGAAGATATTTGCCAAGGACATATCCAATAAAGGGTTAGTATCTAAAATATATAAAGAACTTACATAAATCAACACCCAAAAACCAAATAATCCAATTAAAAGATGGGCTGAAGAAATAAACATTTCTCCAAATAAGACATCCAAATGGCCAACAGACACATGAAAAGATGCTCAACATCACTCATCATCAGGGAAATGCAAATCCAAACTACAATGAGATACCACCTCACACTTGTCTAAAATAAAAAACACAAGAAACTTTAAGTGTTGGCGAGGATGTGGAGAAAAAGGATCCCTTTTGCATTGTTTGTGGGAATGCAAACTGTGCAGCTACTGTGGAAACAGTATGGAGGTTCCTCAAAAAGTTAAAAATAGTGGGGCACCTGAGTGACACAGTCAGTTAAGTGTCTGACTCTTGATTTCAGCTCAGGTCATGATCTCAGGATCGTGAGGTAAGAGGCTGGTGTTGGGCTCTGTTCTCAGCGGGCAGTCTGCCTGAGATTCCCTCTCTCTCTCCCTCTGCCCCTCCCTGCACTTGCTCTCTCTCAAATAAATAAATCTTTAAAAAAAAGTTAAAAATAGAGGTACCCTAAGATCCAATAACCACACTACTGGGTATTCACCCAAAAAACACAAAATGTCAATTCAAAAGGATAAATGTACCCCTAAGTTTACAGCAGCATTATTTACAATAGCCAAAATATAGAAGCAGCCCAAGTGTCCATCAACAGATTAATGAATGAAGAAGATATAGTATGTATATACACACACACACACACACACACACAAATGCACAATGGAATATTATTCAGCCATAAAAAAGGATGAAATCTTGCCATTTGTGATGACAGGGATAGAGCTAGAGAGTGTAATGTTAATTGAAATAAGTCAGTCAGAGAAAGATAAATACTGTATTACTTCATTCATATGTGGAATTTAAGAAACAAAACAAATGAGCAGAGGAAAATAAAAGAGATAGAGACAAGCCAGGAAATAGTCTCTTAACTATAGAGAACAAACTGATGGTTAGTAGAGGGGAGGCAGGTGGGGCTTGGGTCAAATAGGTGATAGGGATTAAAGTGTGCACTTGTCATGATGAGCACTTGCGATGAGCACGGGGTGATACATGGATTTCTTGAATCACTATATAGTATATAGTATGCCTGAAACAGATATAACACTGCATGTTACCCATACTGGAATTAAAATTTGAAAAAGAAGAGTTGCTTTGACAGGGAATAGCATTTTTCAGTGTCTTATTCTAGTATCCTTACATCATGCATCATGCTCATCACTGCTTCCTTTATATCCTCCAGGATTGACTATCATTTAAACACTAAATAATTCTTTGCATTTCACACAAGAGAATGGGTAAATGGCCATTTCCCAGTTTTTGATTTTTGAAATTTCCTCATCTTCGGTCCATTAATTATGGACTGTCAAATCAAAAAACCAATAATAAGAGCAGTGGAATTTCACCAATGAGAAAAGCTTGACACACTAAAGTTAGTACATTTAATGTTCAGAGTTCTCAGAAAGCAGGTCAATACATTCTCTGCTTGAGTATATGCTTGTTGTCCTAATCCATTTATCTGTGTTTAAGTGATAATAAAAATGTAAAACTACCCTGGGTAAGTACTAGGCAACTGAAAATTAATAGAAGTATTAGGTAAAATATGGTATAACCTACTACAGAGTTTAGCAAGAGACATATAAAGAGAACAGCAGCAAGTATAACATTTTGCAAAATGTTTTAAATTTAATTTTAGAGATAACATACCATTAGCCACATATCCCAGCTGTGGTATAAGTTGTTCATCTTTACAATTTTCCCGTCCTGGTACTAGTCTTTGGAATTTTGTAGGATGAGGATTGCCATCAACATCCACCAAGAATGGGGGAGGCATGAGGTGAGGAGCTTGTTGGGTTTGTTCATCCAGTACATAGTTGTTGGCATCACGGATAAGAGGTCGATAATCCGTGTGGAAGAACATCTGATCTGGAATCTTTATGACAGGTTTTAAGGATTTAACATGCATAGGGAATTAATTTTTATTCCTAGAGAGAATGCATTTTTCAAATCAGACACTTTTTACAGACTCTTATAGCCCTCTACTGCTTTATGTTCCCTCTAGGTAGAAATGAATCACCTAAACAGTAATCTTATCTCTTCTCCACAAAATCGTATAATCTGTATTACTTTCTGGCCCTATATCATATTTTTCCAATTAGCATATGAAGGAGAGCAATACCACAGTAGATAAAATTAGGTATTTTTACTTAAGTTGTAAACATACAAACATTTATAGCTATTTTTATTGCTTATTTCTATTCAAATAAGGATAGATGGGAGTATAATATAAATAGCAAAGCAAGTAAATACCAAATACATAAAAAATACTCAAAGATGATAGGTATTGAGCTAAACTCAATGATTCTGAGTTCTCTTCCAATTCTAAGAATCCATAATCTATTTCAAATTCAGAGCTAATAAAATATAAAGAACCATTTAAGCTAGCTTCCAAAGTATTTTAACAAGATGGATAATAGGTAAAGTGGCCAAGCAAGAAAATTAACATTTGGTCACCAGCTGTTTATTTCTAATTTATGATAAGTTAGAGGATGCAATCTGGTAAAGTTGTTCTCCATTATACCTGAAGGGCAGTACGGAGAATATGTTCTAAGCAAAAGGATTTCCTAATGAATTTTTTATCTACATCACCCTATATCTTAATAGCGATTCAAACTGCCAAGCCTATGTTCTGGCAGTGATGAAAACTTTTGTCAAGAAAGGTGACTTTGTTATTTTATGTCTATTGACACACAATGACCCTTATTAACTGGAAGACTTCAAATAAGATTTATGAATGATACAATCCAAAATTATAGTCTATAACAAAAATCAAACAGACTAACCTTTTCATAGTATTTACTGCATCCAAAACCAAAAAGCAGCAAATGCCCATGAGAGTCTGTGCAGGCAAAATGGTTTCCATCTGGTGAAAATTTACAATCAAACACTGCACCATGGCCTTGGCCTTCAATCTGAAATTTAGAGGAGTCACTTTAAGTCATCTTTAAGAGGTAATTTTCAAATAAGTAGGCAATAGATTCTGCTTCCTAATATCTTGGATTCTGTGATGCATCTACATTCCAATGTACTCTCTGGCTTGTTGCCAGAACCCTACTGAAACAGTAAAGCTCTGAAAGAAATTAGGAAGAATCAAAATGCAATAGATGGATGGTCTCAAACATTACTAGCAATGTCGTATCTCAAGAAATACTAAATGAGTGACTGAGAATAAAAAAAGACCTAAACACGACCAAAATGACAAAAGTGCTATCTCAGCAAAATCAAGATAATATCTTCACACCTTAAATTATAATGCAAGCAAACCTTAAAATAACCTTCCTAAAATTAAAGCACATAAATCAATTTTACTAACAAAAGACAGAGGGTATTAACATTCTCAAACTGTACAAAGCCTATAAAAGGGAGCTCAAAGGTTGGCAATTTAGAAATGTTTCCTCAGAACTAACACTAAATATGGAGGATGTGAGTATTCCCATTACCATAGGAGGGTGTTCTACTGGAAAAAGAGGTAGCTCACCAGATTTTCCCATGGTTTGTATGAAATATATCTTAAGGGTATCTATACCTCCAATTCCATGTTTGCCAAACAACTTCCTGATTTCTAACTAAGCCATATGGAGTTTACCAGAAGCAGATACAATACAGTCACTGTTATGATTCATACATTACGATTACTGTTTAAACATTAACCTTTTTGTGAGTTTGGTTACTGTTACCTCCAAAAGCTTATTAAATTTGAGTTTCTAGAATTTAGAGCTGGGGACAAGAATTTGGAAAATGCTAATGCCATGATAACAGAGTCACTCTGAAAGGTTAATTCTTGATTGGCCTTACTCTCAGGTCTTGAGACATTCTCTAAGTTATTATATGGATTTAAACACAGATGACAAAGGTTCCTTGGCACTAAGTATACTTTAATTACCAAGTTGTCATATAAGAGATGTCTGTTTTAATATGAACTAAACACAGATTTTTCTTACCATGTTAAAATAATTCCGAATTTTGGTTCCCCGGTCAAGGTCCCAAATAAAAATGTTCCCATCATGACCCGCTGAAAGTATGATCCTTTGATCAAATGGATGTGCTTCCAAAACAAATACTTCATCATCATGTCCCTGTAATAAAATCAATATTAAAAATGAAAAGCAACACCAAGTATTTGGTTTATTTGGCCAGAAGATCTCAGGAGTGTGCTACTAATCCCACGCAGATGAATTTATGTACACCACAGCATTTACTACATGGACACTAAAAGAAATAGTTCAGAGTTCCTTATATGTTTAGGTGCTGATTTCAAAAAGTATTCAATACAGAAGACCCAGGAAGGTGTTTAAAGTGTAGTCCAAAACAGTTACACCTCATTAACCAGGCCCCTGAAATAGAATTTGTATTTCTATGACTCTGCTATTTAAGACCCACAGAAAATGGGACAAACAGAATCTTTCATTAACACTCAATTCTGCCACAGAGATAACACACAAACCTTCATTGTTCTTTATCCAGCACTCTCTATCCCTAGTATTCAAATTAGATTTTGGAAGGCCCCATGGTACATTCAAACAAAAAAGCACAGTGGCTCTGCCTTTTATCTACTTTACAGTTGAAGGTTTCATTTAATATGCTATCTGAAAAATGGGTTTGTTGCTAAAAAAAAGTTTGAAAACCAATGCTCTCTATATATGTTTCCCTTACCGATGAGTATCAGTATATAGAGACCTTAGATCAGGAGTCTGCAGCTATAGCCTTCAGGCCAAATCTAGCTCCCAGACATTTTGGTACACACAGCCTGTGAACTAAGAATGGTTTTTACATTAAAAGGCTTCAAAAAAACAAAGAATATACAACAGAGACTATATGTGGCCTGCAAAGCCTAAAATACTTATTATCTGGCCTCTTAAAGAAATAGTTTGCCAACACTTGATTCAGACCATTGTTAAGGAGAATACATGATTAATGATAGGCTCCAAGTCTTAGAAAAGCATGCATGACATCCTGAAGTTGCGTTTCACTTAGGAACACATCAGCATATTACACATCAGTAGTTTTTAGAAATCATCATATCTTATGACCCAAAAAAGTGCATTTTATCCTAAATCATTGTATAAAAAATGGAATAGAGCACCCTACGATGTTACCTTTATGTACAAAAACATAACTTATTAAAAAATAACTGCAGACTGCCTCAAAATGTGTAGGTAAAATCCCATTGCAATAAATACTCTTACAACTGAAAGTTTACCAAGACTCTTCCCAGTGACCACTAAAAGATTACTTGTTATATGCTAAATATAGCATATAACAAATACTTTCTCAGGTTCCTAATGAGTAAACAATAAAACTACTTTGTTAAACTCAAATGATAATGATACAACTATTTCAGTGTACATTGGAAAAGACAGGCTTTTAAATAGAGGATTTTATTTGTTGGTCACATGTCATAGGATAGGACACAGTCACTGTATCATAGGGAACAAAACCTAACCAAATTCAGTAATGTCTTAAGATATATCATCTGCCTTATTTTTATTTATTAAGCACACCTCTATTTTCATCACTGCCACACAAATCCAAATTATCATCATGGCCCATCCTACCACAGACTCCTACATTATACCAGAGTCACTCCTCTTATCTTCATTCCAATTCTCTCTATTCTGTTGCCAGAATTATATGGTATTCTTCAAAAGCAAAATTCACATAAATTCACATGTCATTCATTAGCATTTAAATCTTTTAATGGTTTACTGTTGGTCTAGGATAGATCCTATAAGACTCTGAATGATCTGGTGTCTCTCCATTTCTCCAGGTCTATCTGGTGACACTCTTTCTCTGTGCTCTAGCCAAAAATTGTCTTGCTTTCAACTCCCTTCTACCTGAAGACCTTTGATGTGCTTTTCCCTCTTCCTGTAAGGAACTCCCAACTCTCTCACATATGTAATTTATCAAATATTTATCGATATCCTACCATACTGAGACAGAAAATAAACAAACAAGAAAATACCAGGTAGTGATAAACACTATGATGAAAAGAAAGCAAGGTGATAGAATAAGACAAAGACTGGAAGGCTACTCTAGATTGTTTGATCGGGGAAGGCCTTGTCAAGGAGGTGACATTTAGGCTGAGACGTAGGTAATTTCTACCTATCTTTCAAATCTTAACCCAAATTTAACTTCCTTAGGAATCCTCTCTGACCCTATTTTGACCAGGGTCAAATAGGTTTAGATCAGGTTTGGTCACCCTATTAGAAACTTGCATTGTATTTTGCACTTCTTTCTTCTGACCATTTATTTAATTATTTTGTGTGTGTGTTTGTTTGTTTGTTTTAATTTTTTTCTTAATAGGCTGTAAATTCCAGGATGATGGGGACTCTCTAATTTACTATTTATTCCTAACATCTAACTCAGTTGCTGGCACACAGTAGATGCTCAGTAAGTATTTGCTGAGTGGAAGAACTTTACACCACACTAAGACCCCAATAAACAAATTGTTAACACAGAAAAGATAAATATCAAAACTAAGTAGATTTGACTGTTAACAAGGTCTAAAAATAAAAATAGTCTGTTCTAAAAAATTTTCAGTAAAATTCACTGAAAACAGATGACCCATTAATCAATCCATGGGAAGAGTACCACTAAACAGAATTCTAAATTAAGGTACTTGTTAAGACAGAATTTTACACAGATCTATAAAACCAGTGGCTATGACATGAACTTTGAAACTGTGATTTTTAGAGATATAGACTTGTGCTGTCTAATACTGTAGTTAATAGCTACATATGGCTATTAAGCATTTGAAATGTGGCTAGTCCAAATTGAGATGTTGTGTAAGTGTAAAATACACACTAGATTTCAAAAATTTAGTATTTTAAAAATATGAAATAGTTAAAATTAATAATTTTCATATTAGTTACATGTTGAAATGCTACTATTTTGGATATACTGGGTTAAATGAAATATATTATTAAAATTAATTTCACCTGTTGTGCTTTACTTTTTCTGTTGTGGCTACTAGAAAAATTAATACTACATATGTGGCTCATATTATATTTCTCTTGGAGCATGCTGCATAGACAAACACTTCCTAATAAAGAATCAAGCAAATAGTATAGATTTTTCTATACATATTAACAGAAACTTATATTGGGGAATAGGGAAAGGCAGAAGGGGATAAAGAATTGGCTAAGCAGATTAAAAAAAAAGAATCTAAAATTCCACTAACACAGTGTCAGAGTTTTATTTAGGAACAAGAATTGGGAGGTATATGGAATTCCTTCCAAAATTAAACAAATCTTTAGAAATCTCAGAGGTTATAAATAAGATTATCTCACAAAGGAGTCAAATAAGGATGGATACTATGGTATACTACAAGGTAAATTGAGTCATGAGACCTGGATTCTAGTCCTTATCACTTACTACTTTGTAAACCATATGGCAATCACTTGGCCCTGTCCTTAAAGTATTTATGAACTGATAACTGAAGCAGATAGGAAATAAGGCTTTTAAGTGGCATTTAACCTGAAGTGTACAAGCTAAACCAACAAACAACCCCACCTATGTGACTTCTGCTGTTAATCCTGTCAGTTTTTCATGCCACAAATATTATACCTTTTACTACAACAAAAAAGAGGAAAAGCCACCTTTTTCTCCTACTTTTTCCTCTTACCTCTACTTCTTGCATAAATGAATCCCTGAAAGTAGAATATAAAGGATACCCTTGTCAAAATAAAGTTAGCTCTACCCCTAAAACAATAATAACAAAAATCCCAACTCATGCTAAAAACAAAATAACTTATATATCCTTGACTGCATTTAACAAAATAAGTAATTATCAGACCTCAAAAGGACCTTGAAATGTATTCATACCTGCTTTTAGCAGCTATACCATGTGCCATCCTTATTTTGCAGATATGTCAACAAAGGTAACTGAAATATTTACTTCTCCCATAGTAAGTCACAGAAAGTAAACTAAAATATAAATTTCCTGTCTTCTGGAATAACGTCCTTTTTGATCATTTTAATTATTCCAAAAATACTTACAGATAAAGTATGAAGAAGTTGCCCTGTGAGAGAATTCCATACTTTCAAAAGAAAATTGTTCACTGCAGTAATAACTGTGGTGTCATAGCGATCCCAGGCCACCATAGTCACCTTAAGTTTAGTGACCTTGTCTTCTCCAGATGGCAAATTATTCCTAAATAAAATAATTTGCAGTATTCATACATTGTAAATTATTAACAAAGGTACATCTAAAACAGAAAATTATGAAAAAAAAATCCAGTAGCTTATAAATTTTTAGATAAAAAAATCCTAAACTATACTTTTAAGTACTCACAAAATAAAATACTAAAAGTACCTAAGTAGGGCAAGACCCATAAGCTTATTTTAGGAAGACAAAAGGCACAAAATGACAAAAAAAAATTGTAGTTAGTTACACAAGAACAAAAAAATGGTGAAACTAGAAAAAAAATCTACGAATCCCTTGAGAAATAAAATACATGGTCATGTTGGCTACCAGAAAATATGAAGAAAACATATAATGGACACTTTACTCCCTTAAATAATACATTTTGAAACTAATAGGTCTTATAAAAGAGCAGCAAGAAATTCATTAACTTTTAGTTGAATATAATATGAATAGCTGGCTAGGACTACAATGTCAGTTCTATATTGTCATTAGGAAGATAATTAGTTTCAGGGCCTTACCCTATAGAAACTGTAATGTCCTAAAGATGTAATTATATATCTTCCAATCAACAGGGAAGACGATGAAACAGAATGCTGATTAAGTGTACTTATAATGTTGAGTAGGAATGCTAACAATATGAAACATTATAAAGGCAACCTCAGTAAGACAGAGAAATAGTTAAACTTATGATGACATTTAATAGGGACAACGCTCAAAGTAGAAAGTAGTATAGATAGATATTAAAAATGACCTATAGAAAACTAAGGCAGAAAATAACTCTGTGGGCATTAGCAGAGTAGAGATCTTTGGGTCACAAGAGACGAGAATTTTGAATTACTCAGCAATATTTCTATCGTCCAGTCTGTCAATCAACAGCAAAAGGCAATTTACTTAGAGACTAAATACAGACACAAACTTCAGGTCTACAAATGAACTCCAAACTATTTACTAATCTAAAAAGATATTTTCATTACGAAATATAATTCAGTAAGTCAAAAGATACTATACTAACATCCAATCTTACCCAGTCATTTTAGTAGCCATATCTAGCACTATACTCTTCCATTCTTGTTGCTGATATTGCCAAATTCTTGCTGTTCCATCTCTACTTCCACTAACAAATCTTAAACTGCAAAGAAACAGTTAAAATAACCTTATTACTTTTTTCCAAAATATAAATCACTTTTTTTCTAATTATGAAAGTAATATGTTCATCCCCATACACTACTGGGGGTAATGAAAATTATACATTTTGGAACACAGTTTGGCAGTGCCTCAAAATGATAAACAGTCACCATATAACTCAACAATTCTACTCCCAGGTATAAATCCAAGAGAAATGAAACATTAAGTCCACATAAAAACTTATACATGAATATCCATGGCATTATTCCTCACAAGCCAAAAAGTGGTAACAATCCAAAGTCCATCAACTAATAAAGAGATAAACAAATTATGGTATCCATACAATCAAATATTATTCAGCAATAAAAAGAAATAATGATACATGCTGCAACATGACTGAATTTTGAAAACATTATGCTTAGTGAAAGAAGTAGGTCACAAAAAACCACATTTTGTATAATTCAATTTATATAAAATTTCCAGAACAGGCAAATCTATAAAGATAAAAACTAGATTAAAGATTGCCCAGAGTTAAGGGTAAAGATATTGGGGAGTGATAGCTAAAGGGTATGGAAATTCTTTTTGTGGTGCTAAAAATGTTCTAAAATTGTGGTAAAGGTTGCACAACCCCATGAATACACTAAAAAACAGAGAAGTTATGTTATGTGCATTATATCTCAATAAACTTTCAAAAGTACATTCATTCACCCATAATTCTATCACTGTTCATACTTTCATTTCTATTCCACCAGACTTTATTAAAGACATACATATACACTTATATATTTCCCCCTATAGGAAACAGAATTGTACTACATATAATGTTTTGTGTTGTCCCCTAAGGATTATTTCATAGATATATCTCTAGGTTTATAAATAAAACTACTGTCACTTTTAGTAAGTATTCAACTATTTGGATGAATCAAAGTTTATTTAATCAGCTCCCTAATGATAAATATTTATACTATTTCCATTCTTCACCACTATAAATAATGTTGTGATGACTATCTCTATACATATCTTTGTATAACCTTATACATAACTTTGCTGAGTCAAATGGTCAGCACATTTTTAATGTTTTTGATGAATAATTTCCCTGAAAAGTTTTTTAACACTTTACAGTCTCTTCAAAAGTTGTGGGAGAGTGAGTGCCCGTTTTCCCTAAACCCTTAGCAATACTGGGTGCTAACATTCTTCATTTTCTTGTCACTCTGAAAGGAAAAAAAAATGTTACTTTTATTCTAAACTGCATCTTTAACTATTAGTAAAATTGGACATCCTTTGTTTATTGTCCACATAACTAATAAAGATAAAATAATGTTTCTCCTTTAGGGAAAAGGCAAGGAATTAAAAACTTCAGATTCCTCTAGCATGAAAGAATCATAGCTGTACAAACCTTCAAGTGTATAACTCAGTATAGTGCAATAAATCAACCTCAAAAAATTATCTGAAGGTTTTCTCACTCCTAATATAAACTTCACTCTATGTGGACCATCATTATTTACTCTTGCATTTAATAAAGATGAACAAATTCATCATAGCAATCACCCACTGTCTGAAAAATATTTAAAGATAAAACATGGTCAAAAAAATTAAATTAAAATAAAACATGGTCACCCACATAAAGTCCTTATAGAAATATATGGATACACATTTATGTTAAGTGGTTACATTTTTAAATCTATTTTTAGGTCAATTTTTAGACCAGGGCAAAAGATTATCATCCTTTTGGGATCAAACATTTGAGAGGGTGCACAAACACCTATATGTAATTTCTGAGTTTACAGACACAGGAAATATGTATCATATGAGTAGGAGAGACAATAAGTAATACAGATGTTCAGAGGAAGACAATATGGCTAAAATCTGGAGCAGTCAGAAAAGGCTTCAGGTAGAACATGGGAAGACAGGACTTAGAAAATGAGAGAGAGGGACTGGAGGGAAAAGAAAAATAGAGTGAAGGAGAGCAAAAGGGAGAGGGAAGCTGTAGGAGGGAAAGAGAAGGAGTGAGGGGGGAGTAGGGGTGATATTTCTGGGTAAGAATGGTGTGAGGTAAAGTATAAGCAAAGCAATGAATGAGAGAAAAAATATAGATATATGGATGTAACAGGAGCAATGATTAAGTCAATTAGGCTAAATATAATGATTTATATGGGGAATAGTAAATGAGAAAAGAATGTAGGTCTAAGTTAAGTTACAGAAAGTTCTGAATTCAAGGCTAAGACATTTGAATTCTATTCTATAGACAAAAGAGGAAACACAAGATTTCTGAACAGAGCAATGTGGATCTGGCAGAAATGGACAGGATATATTTAGAGAGGAGAAGAAAATTGAAGGTAATGGGTCAAAAAATAGAATCCTTGGCTAAAGTGAGTTATAACAGAAATGGAAAAACAAAATAAACAAAAAAGAAATCACTCAGAAAGGAAGAACTATAAAGTATGGCTACTACTTGGAGTAGTACAGACGGAGTTTAAAAGAGATGGGGTAAGGATATCATCAGAAATAGACAAGGGCTTTCAGCTTAAGAAACTGAACAGAAATAAAAGTACTACAGTAGAAGGAGCTACTTCTGAAAGAACAGAAGTAATATATGTCAAACATCTGTTTACACAGATATGTACTACATAGTTACCTGTCTCCATTGTTACAGAACTGAACAGCAACAACTTTGTCCTAAGACATAAAACAACAGATTTTTGGTTAGAGTTAATTTATTTGTAAAACGAATAAAGTACTCTTCCCTTCAAATTCACATGCAAAAGTATCATGGAGTAGACTTTTTAATGCTATAATTTTCTTGGAAAAAACTCCAATTTTCTTTAAAAAGTTAATGAAGGCTGAAACAATGCATTAACTGAGGAAGAATACTTATTAGCAGTAATTTGAAACAAACCAGACATAGCACACCTGTTTCTAAATCATAATCTCAAGAGACAGTTTTCAATAGATACTAGTTTTATGTCCCCCATGATAGGACAGCACACTAATCTAAAGTTCAACCCTAAAGTAACAGATTTAATAGCAGTTGAACTAAATTTCCCAATTAATTTTTTTTAAATTTCAGAAAAATAAATCAATCATTTCCAGCCTCTCACATGGATTATTTATTTTACAAAGAATTCATCTGTCTTTAGGTACAATATTTTAGATACTTCTCTTTGAATCTTCTTTTATTATGATTAAACTATACTTTTACAAATATAAGGTATATTATAGTGATGAGAAGATTAAAGTGTTAGCCAGAATATGCATTTTTTCTCTTTATTCCTTGATAATAAAGATAAAATGTACCCTCAAATGTTGTACATATTTTCACAAAACACTCAGTTACTGAACTGCATTTGAATTTTTAATAAAAAGCTCAAATACTAAATATCTTTATATTTATTTTTCATTTTTAAAAATTATTAAACTGTCTTCATATGTTCAGAGTTATATTCATACTGCTCTGTGATTTCACTATGGTATTTATCGGACAGATTCTGGATTCTCACTGCCAGTTGCAATAACTGGTTTTAGATGTTCTGAAAGTACACCTTATTTTCAATAACTAACAGTAGCCACTGACTTCAACAGGGAATAATTAGGTTTTTTGACTTTCTCTTAGCTGGACCCCCAGCAAAAAAACGCACAAAACTCTACTAATCAATTTTTCTTCATCTTTCCCCCATTCAATTCTTGCCTGTTGTTTCTACTACCTCCTTCTCACTCAGCTCTCAATAAACTTGACTGCACTTGTATACATACCCTGCTTGGGTGGTAATTGTAAAGATGCCTCCTTTGCATACTCTAGTACAAATGGATTTCTCCCACTGGATAGTCTCAGACTGAGATCTTTATATATTTCCTAAGTTTTTCTCTTTCACAATTTAAATAATATTCCAGGATTTTAGTATCTAGGAATAAGTAACAGCAAGGTGAGAGCTCAGCTTGGTTCAGTAATGATTCATAAGTAACTGTTCAATTATGCTTATGGGATGGGACAAAATCAGGAGGCTGTTTCCAAAAGCTCAAGGAGAAGGTTTCTAACAGGTCTATTTTAGTACAAATTTCAGGAACATGATTGACTGTGTAACTCACAAAGTATCTTTTTCTAATAGTCATGATTCAGGGAAACTGTGTATTTTATTGATGTGCACTAATAGTACTCCAAATGAGAGGTCAACAGTACTAAAAACAGTAATCTTAAGACTTGCAAAGCTGAGTGTTTTCAATTGCTGGCTATACAGCTTTGACAATAAGGTATATGAGATGTATAGTGAGATGAAAAACAAGTACTCCCATACACCATAGTAAATAATTATCTAGAGAAAAAGGTAAGGAAAGGAAGAGGAGAAAGAGATGAAAAGTTCACAGGGATATGAAAAAGAAAATTACTGGCTCCAAGCTTCCTAAAAAAAGAAAGTAGAAATAGCTTTGAAGAAAAGGTCCAGTCACCAATGGCCAGCCACCAATGGCTGTCACCCAGGTATAAAGCTGTTCCCTGTTGTTATTGATAACTGAGTAGGATTAGATTTTAGGAGTCCATGATGGCATTCTGAAAATAATTAAACTAAAATCAACAAGCTAAATTAGCAAATTATTTTTTCTCAAGATATACTTAATATGTCTTTTATTATTTATTGAGGTAAAATGGGCATATAGCATAATATGTTTCAGCTGTACAATATTATAATTGGATATTTGTATATACTATAAAGTGATAACCACTGCAAGTCTAATTACCATCCATCACCATACAAATAAGCCCTCTCACCCATCCCCCAACACCCTTTCCCCTCTGGTAATCATGGATTTGTGTATCTATGAGTTTGTTTTTGTTTGGTTTGGTTTGTTCATTTGTTTTGTTATTTCAGAATCCATACATAGTGAAATCATGTTATTTGCCTTTATCCATCAGATTTTTCACTTAGCACAATACCCTCAAGATCCATCTGTATTGTCACAAATAGCAAGATTTCCCTATGTGTGGCTGAGTAGTATTCCAGTGTGTGTATGTGTGTGTGTGTGTGTGTGTGTGTGTGTGTACAACATCTTTATCCATTCATCCATGGATAGACACTGAGGTTGTTTCCATATTCTGGCTATTATAAATACTGCTGCCAATGAACATAGAGGTGCATATATCTACTTGAATTAGTGTTTTTGTATTCATCAATAAATACTCAAAAGTGGAATATCTGGATCCTATGATCGTTCTATTTTTAATTTTTTGACAAATCTCCATACTGCTTTCCATAGTGGCCATACCAATTTACATTTACATTCCCACCAATAGTGTACAAGAGTATCCTTTTCTCCACATCTTCTCCAACACTTGTTATTTCTTGCCTTTTTGATAATAGCCATTCTAAGAGGTATGAGGTGATATCACATTGTGGTTTTCATTTGCATTTCCCTGATAATTAGTGATGTTGAACATGTTTTCATGTGCCTATTGGCCATCAGCATATCTTCTTTAGGGAAAAAAAAATGTCTATTTAGTTCCTCTACCCATTTTAATTGGGCTGTTATATGAATCCTTTATATATTTTGGATATTAACCCCTTAATGGATATATTACTTACAAATATCCTTTCCCATTTACTAGGTTGCTTTTTTGTTTTATTGATGTTTTCCTTCACTGTGCAGTAGCCTTTTACTAAGAAGTAGTCCCATTTGTTCATTTTTGCTTTTGTCTCCCTTGCATTTAGAGTCAGATTTAAAAAAAAGAAATCACTAAGACCAATGTCAAGGACCTTACCACTGCTGGGGAAAGTCATGAAAAAGATGTGACTGCCAGGTGACCTGTGAGCTGGACCCCAGGCAATCAGAGGCTCCTTACCCTCTTCCCTATCCTTGGTATATGGGTTCCACTTGCCTTTCCCGCTCCCAGAGGCTGCTCTAAGGACATAGCCTTGAGACAATGATGTGGTATTGAGAACACCTGCACAGTATACTTGAATGAGCTCAGTTAAGGCTTCTTTATAAAATTTTGAGATTTGGTGGGCAGGCACAAAGATCCATTCATCTTGCTGCCACCCAAAACAAACTTCATGTGTAAATTCCCTTTGCTTATTAAAACTGCCACCTACCAACCCAGAATGGCCTACCTCTTTCTTTGGTCTTTCCTTGCCCTCTGGGTACGTGGGCCAGTTTCAGATTATATCCAAGAAGATCCCAAGAGGGCTGTAAACTGACAATTTGGTGAGCCAGCCCAGAGACCAAAGAAATGGGCCTTGGAAATGTGGCATCCACAGGAGAAATCCCAAATTAGCCATCAACTTCTGTGTAAGGAGGGTGGCAGGTATGTTAGATGCTTATGGACTACTACATGAATATGGGGACACCCAGAAAATGCCAGCCAATCTAATGTACTTGTTGGAGGAAAGGCACATACCACACTGAGGCAGAGAAGGGAAACATGGTTGCCATAGTGGGCTTCTACTGTGGGTAGTTCAGCTGGCCACTGATGCCCAACTAGAAGCTAAAGCTCAAGTTAGAGCTGAGTTTAGAAAAGGATATGTGAGTGTCCACTACTCTGCTAGCTCTGGGGCTGGCAGACAAGATGGAAGAGCAAAGTAATAAATTGGAGACCTTAGTGTCCTGTTCTGCAAAGCAAGGAGGATGCAAGCTGTCATGTATTAAGATATGAGAACTTATGAGAAAGCCCGATTAGGATGCTAAGAGGTGGAATCTTGGAGAAAATGATGAAAATCAAGAGGGGAATGCTGTGGTAACTGATGAGGAAACAGACAAAATGTCCCATACCTTCTGACCTCTAATTTTAAATAGCAATTACCCCAAAACTCCTAGGAGAAAACTTACATCTTTCTCTGTCCCCTGAAGTTTATAAATCTTATCATATCTTTGAAATAGAAATACCCCTGGAGATAACCAAAACATTGCCAGAAAAAGGCAGCGGATCTTTTAAGAATACAGCTATAGTTCTCTTGTTCACTGCATTATAATGAACTCTCATCAAATCAAATGACCATTTTTAAGTCTTCTGTCATTTGTAGTTATTGTTTTGCTCTGATGCTTTGCAAAGTGTCCCTCCAACAGTGCTTCATCTTTAAGAACACTCATGGAAAAGGCTTTGACAAATTTCTGATAACTAAGATTAAATTGCTTTCTTGTTGGAGAGATAATAATGAACCTTTCAAGTGGTCCCCCAAGGCTACATGCATAGTCCCACAATATGTCATACAATGGTAGCTGGGGACCTATCCCTGTTCTCCTTCCCCACATCAGCAAAATGGGCCCATTACACATTGATAATACAATGTTAACATGTAAAGATTTACCTCTGCTGCAGGACACCTGCAGGCTTTGCTCAGGAACATCTGTGAGGAAGAAGATGGGCAATGAACCCAAAGAAAATTCAAGGCCTAGACACTGCTATAAGGCTTTAGGTGTCATCTGGTCAGCTAAGACTCATAAAGCTGTAACTGAAAAGGTGCAAGCCTATCCAACCTCTTAAGAATGGGAAAGAGGTGCAGTCCTTTATAGGGATTTTGGGGTTATGGAAGACTTTTAATCTCCACCTGGCACAGTACTCCCATTCCTTATGCTCCCTGGTAAAGAGACTGGGGACAATAGCAGCATGCTGCCTTTGAGAAGGCAAAAATACTAATAAAACAGATTAAAGCTCTGAGCATCTCCTAAGTAGGGCTACCATTTGAGTTTGATGT